AAAAAGAAAATTACAATTTCGGTCTTTCTACCTTGCATGCTTGGATACGTACTTTTGAATGCCTGCTACACGTTAGCTACCGTTTAGACATTAAAAAGTGGCAAGTTAGAGGCAAAGAGGATAAATGCCGTATCAGAAATTGTTCAAAAGAGATTAGGCAAAAGCTTCGGAAACAAATGGGACTTATTGTGGATAGACCGAAGCCTCATTATGGAAACACAAATGATAGCAACACAACTCGCAGGTTTTTTTTTAAATCCAGAAAAGAGCTGAGAGATTGCAGGATTAGATGTTGAATTAATTATAAAATTTAGTGTTTTGTTAAGAACGCTATCCTCTAGCCATGACATTGATTGTGTCAAATTTGAAAAACTTTGTTCTAAAATAATGACTTTATATTTACATTTATACTCGTGGTATTACATGCCTGTTACAGTGCATAAACTTTTAATGCATAGTATGGAAGTTATAAAGTCGTGTATTCTTCCGATTGGCCAGCTCTCAGAAGAATCTCTAGAAGCACGAATTAAAGATTGTGGGAGATTTTGAGAACATCACGCTAGGAAAAAGTCACGTATTTCTATAAATATGGATTTGCTGAATATCCTCTTAATAACATCTGACCATGTTATCAATTCACTTAGAGAACTGCCTGCAAAAAAAAGTAAAGAATTACCAGTAGAGGTATTGAATTTGATTGTTCCGGCTCCAAGAATAGGAAATTGTAACTTGTCCGTTGAATCCAATTATGAGTCATCTGACAATTCAAGTGATGAGTGTTTGGTGGATATAAACGACGAGTTTTTTGATAACTAAATATAAAATTTATTGTATAATATTATGTATCCTTGTTTCATGAATATATTTTTTCTTTTTTACTTCATTTTTTTATTATAACAGTGGTTGTTGCAATGAAGGGCAATGGGGGGGGGGGGGGAAGGGTTGTAGGCGAGGGTTTTTTTTCTCTATCCTGCGCAAAAAAAACTTCTAAGTTATTAAAAACAAGGTAATTATTCAATAAAACAACAAAATACTGTTTGTTAAAACCATTCATGGCTAGAACAATGGAATTCGTGAACAAAAAATTTTATTCCAGCAGATTGTATGAAACGATTCACTGTGCGACGGGCTATTTGTATTAATATTTCCACTTATTCATTAAAACCTTATATTTTTAATTACTATTAAATTCTTTTTAAAATCACTTTACATTGATTATCCAAATATAAATTTATATTATAATATTTATTGTAGTACATAATATCCCTTTTCATAAAAGCCATAATATTTGACTTTATTTTTTTAAGAATTATGCATTAACATAATAAGTTAAAACTTAAGACAACCATGCAACACTTGCGTTTTCAAGAAAAGATTTTAGGTATTTCGCGGATTATCGAATTAAATTACATACTCCTCTAATTAGAAAAATAAACAACCAAAATATTTGATTTTCACCTGTTTAGGTATACTGTTCAGATTAATTATTAACAAAAACATTTCCAGGGTATCTAATCCTGTTTTATTATTATTTATTCAAGTTTCTAGTTACTTCGTAAAATTTTTGAAATTTTTAATTATTGTATATTTTACCAAACCAATAATATTAATTTTACAATTTTTATTCTATACACATTTAAACTATTTTTTGAATAAAAATTTATTTTTCAAGTGTCACCGCGTCTGCTGGCACTTAATTAGAAAAAAATTTACGATACTTTATATCTAAATTACTTTAATTATATTCTTTACTGCTGTTAATATTTCTTTGTTTCAGTAAAAACATGGCTTAAGCTATGCGTCATAGGATAAAACAAATTAAATTTTTAACCTGATACAAAACAGGTATTAACTTATTTTACTCACTTATTTGCTTCCACTAACATGTATAAACAATTCTCATACTTTTGTTTCTTCATAATCAAAAAAAAGAATTGTTTTAATTCAAAAATAAAAAGAAAGGAATTGAATCCTTATATTCTGGTCATGAGTTAAATAACTTTCCATTAGTTTAATCTTCTTCTTTTAGAAGATTAAAAAATTAAAATTCTTAAAATTTTCCTATCATCATACTTTTAATGAATTACTTTTTATAAACCATTCACCTCATTAAAAACAGGGAAATAGAAAAAACTCTTCGGCTTTCTTCTCCTCTAAAAGAGGATCATCACCCCCTCAGATCCAGGCGCAGCACTGGCGCACCCCCTGCTGTGGCTATCGCAGGGGCTCCACGCCGCATCAACCCTCTTTTTACCATGCCCTCGGTCCCGATGTAGTCACAAGCTATGATTAATTGTATAATTTAAATTTCTCTTCGGCACTGAAGAAATATATAATTGATTACTTTTTATTTTATTTTAAATTAGTAAATTTATAATGTGATTATGACCAATTCTATTAACTTCTTTATATTTTAAGGTTCACAAAGAGATTATTTGCAAATTCCTTGCATGGAAATTTTTGAAATTTTAAAAAAAGAATTATCTTTTGATTTAGATGACCAGCTTGAGATTTTGCAATCACAGTTTTACGTTAGAAGAAAAATTTGTTTCCAATATTCAATAGATGATAGGAAGAAACTAAATATTATAAGTCTTGACAAAATTAAAAATAAAATAGAAAAGTATTAACCAAACAAAAATAATATTTTTGAATACGAGTGTATTCGCACACATGGTTGAAAGCCTCAACAAATATTTGCGTAAGTTATTTAATCCTTATCTCTATTATAGTTTTAGAATTTCTATCTTTATAAACATTAAAGTAAAAAAAAAGCCATAGTGCAATTGGTTGCCTTGCCGCAGTTACAATTAAAGACTTACCTTCCACTATTCAGAACCGAGCCTCAAAATGTGTAGAGAGTCTTAAATTATCCCAAACTTTACAAACAACAAAATTATGTGCTAAAACAGCTCTTTCTATACTAATGGAAGCAAAGCTTTCTAAAGCTTTTTAAAGTCTTGAGTTGTAAATGCGGCATTTCAGTTACAATTAAAGACTTTAACTTTTAAATATTTTTAAAATTTGATGGTTTTCGTTCAGATTAATAGTATTTATGCTATCTTTTAGTAGTTTAGCTTTTATTTTAACAACACTCGTGTCCCACGAAATTAGATTTAAACTTAACTTGTTATGATGGGGCGCAGTGAATCTAAAGTACAGTGTCTTTACTCCCTCAGCATCAAAGTTATTTAGCTATGCTCCTATTCACTATCATTAATTCACGGCTGTGTTCATTTATTCACTGTGCCTCAGTACTGGGGCACAGTGATCACGTAACACAACTCACTTTAAACCTTTCTGTGAGCCATTAGATAATAAATATTTTAGTTTCGGTGATTTCTTATCATGAAAGACATATATCTCAATCCTTTCGCTTTGATGAAAATAAAAAATAATATATTTAACTTTAGTTTAAAGATAATACCTTTATAAACTATCAATGATTTTCCACATTTCGCTAAGGCAATCTTCTTTTATGAGTTAAATTCCTCTTAAAGTACTTTTCAAATTTTTCATCAAGGTTCTTCATTACAGTAGTTCTTGAAGTTAATATACGTAAATTTGGTACTTGCATCTGGGTTGTACATTTGTGTCCTATTAAGTTTGAAATTTTCACAAAACATTGGGTGCAAATCTTCAGAGAAGATTTTTGTAATGCGGATGGTTTTAATCTAAACTAGCGAATGGTTTTTATTATAATAAAATCTAATTATCTTTAGTTAAAAAAGTATTATACATGTATGAAACTTGCTCTGGTCTTCCTACATGTAGTTTTGTGTTGGACCCTTTTTTATAGCAATCAAATATATAAGACACAAGCAAAACTCTTTTTTGTTTGTCACAGTCTCCTAGACCACACCTGTTTGAGCAATTTTATGAATTTGAAGCCATATTGTTAGCGGTAAAGTATAAGGGCGAGCATGCTGATAAAAACAGTTTTACATGCTGAATAAATTCCAAAGACTGGGTTAATGAAGTTGTATTAAAAAGATAATTTTTTTTTATATATACTGAACTAAAACGACTAAGTAAGGTTACTGATTTTCTGTAGCATATTGCGCACACTTCTCTTGCTTTAGAATGACATGGTGAACAGTTTGGCATTTTATTTAAGCAGGCGATAAATTCTTTACTGGATTTTACATTATTTATGAAATATCTTGTTATAATAGCTACCATAAAAAGAAATTTTAAATAAATTAGTTACATAAAATGTAGCATTTTCAATAAACAATTTGAAATCAACATATAGTAAAGTATTTGAAATGAACATATAATAAACAACTAAAGTTTTGAAATATACGCAAATTTAACATTTAAAAAAATACTTTAAGTAACATCTTTTTTTGTCTTTTTAAAATGCCATATTTCATTAGGACGGAATATTACAATTTTTTTGGAATAAATTTTTGGAGTCACCAGACATAAGCTAACAGTATTTATAAATAGTTTTTCTGTACAACTTTTTTAATCGTTTCTGTACAAAATTTTCAAAGTTTGTTCAGCGACACAGTGTACTGAATTATATTTTTATTTTACATATTTTTTTATGTTAAACATAAATAGTTATTCATCTGTATATAGTTATATATTTGCATATATATACATCTCTGTATATTTATGAGGCCGGTGCGTGCTGTTTGAATTTGCTTGTCCGCAACTAAATGGCAGTGTGAGAAATATATACCTTCAAGGCCGGCGCGATAGGAGGGGTGCGGTTTTTTTTTTTTTTAGTTGGCAAAAGTTGTAATGGCACCTCCCACCCTACCCACGTGACACCTACTCGCACCGGCCCTGTATACCTTGACCAGTTTTATGTTTCCTGAGTGTTGGTAAATAATGAAAAATAAGGTTTACATAAAAATTTATTAATATTCTTACTTTAAAAAAATGCCATGTTAATTAAAATGTTTAATTATCTATAAAATGTTGAAAATATTTTCTTCTTTTACAACAATCAAGAATACAACAATGTTTTTCTTTATAAAAATCTTATGGTTAACCAAATAATTAACAAAACAAAAGCTTTGACTTATAACAGTTGTAATTATAGTTGTTACATTACATTAATACAATTGTTACATTAAACTGATCTTGTTGTTGTCACAGTTTTTTTTTTGTTAACTTACTTACTTTTACTGTTACTTGATTGCGTGAAATAATACCATTTTGATGTAACCACAATGTTGACGTAGTCAGTGTAAATAGCGTCACCAATTAAAATAAGCAGTTATATACTTCCATTAACATTGCAATATTATTAATGACGTATCAATCAAATTAACCCTTATCTTGATTAACATTAAGAGATATACCTTTACCGAACCCTTCGCAGTTCATGTTTTTTTTTTGCTGTAAAATATCCCAGTATTTTGATACCGGTTTTAAAAATTGGTAATTTTGGGTAAAGTTATTAACAATGATGGGTACTGGGATGGCAACCACTAAGATACTTGTAATTGCACAGAAAGCACCAACAAGTTTTCCAGCTAAAAATTAAAAAAATTAAAATGGATCTATATCATATACTATTTTATCAAGTTATATCAGGTATTCAATATAAGATATCAATATTGGAGCTATTTCATTAGGGTAATATAGGGAAGTAAGAGACACTTAAAGTTTAGGATTCAATTAAAAAGACATGGAAATAAGCCACAAAATAACCAAATGCAAAATATAACCTACTTAATATTAAAAGTGTGATGCTAAAGTGTGAGTGCAGGTAAATGTGTGAGTATAGCAAAAAATGTGAGTGTAACAAAAAATGTGAGTGTAAGCAAAAGTGTCAGTGTTAGCAAAAGTGTGAGTGTAAGCCATAGTCAACAAAACCGGTCTTGATTTCGGGACAGTCTTGACTAAAGCTAATTATATATATGGTAATATATGTTTATATTATATATGCAATTTTTGTCGCTGTTTCTGCGTTTTGTGTGTTACCGTATCTGTACGTTATAGTTATATTACCTAGTCTATCAGATCAGATTAACATCATTGCTATTTATGCTTTACCCCGCGATTTACGCCTACTCCATACTGCAAAAAGGACTTTTTCTACAAAACAACCAAAACCCTAACCTCACCCGAATTTGTAAAGCTCTAATATTTTTTTGAAGAAATAGTATATATATATAATAATATGGATGGTGAGAGTAGTGAATTAAATACCAAATAATATAACAAATTTAAAATAAAATAAAAAAAGTATAAGATAATAAGATAAATATTGATTAACGCTAATTATATATAGCGATAAAAGATGCTATTCATTATCGCTAGCTTAAATAAAATAATAATAATATTTAATGTAATTATTAAAATTTAATAAACAATTATTTGTAGAGGTGTACCGGATATTTTTCCCGGATATGCCGGATAATGCACTTTTCTAAAGTTATATAAGTTTTTATGAAGAAAAAACAAGTCTTGGCATTCTACATTAAATAGTGTTCAAGATTTAAAAAAATAAAATCAAGAAAAAACATAACGCAGGCATATGCGTCACTGCGGTGGCGACAACGGGAAAGATAAATCGTTTGCTTAGTTCTCTCTCGAGATAGTTGTTGTTGTGACAGTTGTTGTTGTGACGACGGTGCACCGTCGTCGCCCCGATTTACCCTTTCACTACAATAATTTTGCTATTATTGTTTCTTGCAATCCATAAATAATTTACTTTATACATCAAATCTTTTATATTCTATTTGCAGATGACTCTAACATTTTTTTTTTTTTTTTAATATAAAACTATAAAAACTCAAAACTGCAAATAAAAAACTAAAATAAATAAATGTTTTCTTTGCAAGAAACTGGCTTTGAATTTGAAGAAAACTTTTAAATTAACTTCCGTTATTCTATGAACCAAATATAAAAAATGAATATGCTTTTTTTATAATTATTTAGGGTTATTTTATATCCGTATTTTAGTATTTTAGGAGTGATTTTTGATGATAAATTATCATTGACACCTTTTATAAAACTATTGAAAAACAACGTCTTACACACCATAAATGAAATAAAATAATAAAATTTTTTTAAGATTTAAAGATATCTAAAATTTATTTTTTCATTTACTACATTATTAGTTAACGTACGGCTAGATTGTTTGGAAGAAGTCAAATTGTAGTAAACGCAAGCTAAGCAAATCTGTACAAAAAATCAACATGATAAACTCGACCTTCCCCAAAATTTTTCCCCATTCAAAAAAATCACAGCACTCTGCTGGACACATAAAAGAACTAAAGTACAGAATAGTTTAAAGTTACCAGAAAATACAGACTCTCGAACTTTATTACTAATCCTATAGTTTATATATATAGAATAGTCTTCCTATAAATGTTGTTGAGTTAAACATTAAGTTTCAAAATTTGTTTCATATAAAATTCAAATACGTGTTACCTTACTGCAATGAGATATTTAAAAAAAAAACATGAATTTTAGAATTGCATTTGTATTTGATACTCTAAAAAATTTTAAAAAGTATTTTTTACAAGAAAAAAAATGTATAACTTTCTAACTTTAGGGTGTATTTTATAGTATACCCCTTTAAGGAAGAAAATCATTCTTTTGAGATGAAAATTCTGTTAAAATAGGTTACACGTGGTGTTAATTACTACCTTAAGGGTACAATGTTTTACCTTAAAGAGTATAGTTTGCTAAAATAACTGATAGTTTCCCAAAAACTGTGAAATATAGTTTCACATTTAGTTATTTTATGGCTTATTTCCATGTCTTTATAATTGATTCCTAAACTTTAGGTATCTCCTACTTCCCTATATTACCCTAATGAAATAGCTCCAATATTGTTATCTTATATAAAATTTTACAAGATTTTTTGTCAAAACACTCACTTTTTTCTATTTATCCTTAATCCTATTTATTTCCGAATTATCACTTAATCCTATTTATATAATATCCTGAGTTTATGCTTAATTCAGCACCGCGTAAATAAATTTTTGGAAAAACATTCTGAAAGTTGTTTCCCTGCAAGATGCCTGCGTCATATTTAATTAAACTTGTATAATTTGATTATCACACTTATTTTTAGTCTCAATTGACAAAAAAATAAAAATCTCGATTCACAAAAATTAACCAGAATATATTACATGAGATAATAGAGATAGATTTTTTTTTTTTTTTTTATAAATTTCCTTTATTAATATAGCTTTGTTACCTTTCTGAACACAAACAAATAAATAATATAGAGTAACAATCTATTAAATGGTTTTGTCGCTTTTTCAATCAAAATTTTTTTCAATCAGTTTTTATTTTATTTTCTAGTCAGCAGTTTTTTAAGATTCACTTTCCACCTTCTTTTATTTCTAGAATCGCCCTTAGGTCGATATACTTTTTCTATTAAAGCTTAGCTGCATTTAAATTTTCTCGCTAGATCTCTCTGCGATTGAAATAAATTTGTCTTTATGGAGCGAATAATAGATTTTGCTTTATATTTATCTTTAAATCATTTTTTTTTTTTAAAAAACAAAAAAACAGACAGTTACTCTTCCAATAGATTGTTTATGTAGCCGGAAAATAAATCAAATTAAGGATTGAGAAACATCGGTCAATTTTGAAATTTCAACTTGCGACACTTTTTGTCACAAGTTTTTTGAAGAAAAATTACTTATAAAGACCTATGCTGTTTCTTAAAACATTTAAAGAAAGAGATACCAACGCTGCAATAGGTTAAATAATAGATGAATGACTTCTTTGAATCTTGTATTTGCAATTTTAAAAGAAGGAGAAATAAACATTTTTTTAAAAATTATTTTAATTATTTTTAATTAACAATAGAACTATTTAAGAATTCAAATTATTCGTTCAGAGATCATGGAAGCTTTTTTTCATAATTAAGAAAGATTACTTTCAAACATAAATTGAACTTCAAACTTGAGTAAGTTTATGCTTATATCAAATGAAAATTTTTGCATCGATTGATGAGAACAAAAAACCTCCTAAATCTTGTGCTCACACGAATACCAATTCTGAGGGGGTTTACTTAGTTTTTTACTTTTACTTTTCTAAACAAAATTTTTATTTTTTGTTTATCTTAAGATTTATCTAATAATATTTTAGTGTTCAAAAGTGATCGTGTAAAGTTTCTATATCCCTCAAAATGAGGAGGTTAAATTTCATTTTTTTTATCTTTCTTTTTATAAAGTTTATAAAAAGTTGCTTTCTAAGATCATTTAAAAAAATAAATTAAACGGGAGTCTGCTTAACTTTGCACAACATCTACAAAAGTTCGAAAAACTTTGATTGGTTCAAAGTAAATTCTTTTTATCTTTACATTTTGAAGAACTCTCAGAAGATTTCAAAACTAAAGAATAATTTTATTATTATTTTGGTTTAAAAAGAATTTAATATGTTATGATAAAAAAGATATAATGAACAATAAACAGTTTCCTAAAAATTAAAAATTTCTTCCTATCTAATTTTATTTAATAACCAAACTTAATGATTTTTTATAAATAAAAAATTATAAGCAACAAAACTTCACGAAATCAAAAAACAAACAAAAGATTAATTAAAAAAAGATTTAAAAAAATAACAAAAACTAGAAAAATTTCAAAGTTAAAGTAAAGTTTTCTATTTTCGGTTATTTTTCTAGTTTCGGTTATTTTTCTATTTTCCGTTATTTTTCTAGTTTCTTTTATTTTTCTATTTAAGGTTCTTTTTCTAGTTTCAGTTCTTTTTCTAGTTTCGGTTATTTTTCTAGTTTCGGTTATTTTTCTAGTTTTGGTTATTTTTCTAGGTTGTTTGGTTTGAATTAAATTACTAACTCACTCATAAAAATTTTCTTATTGTGCTTCAGACCACTTACTTTTAAATCTTTTAATTCTTCCACTATTGCCTGATTATAAGCACTATTTACTTTGAATTTGTCTAAGAAAGTTTACTTTCATAAGTAGGGAGTTTAGTCACGTGACTTTTTATTGGGGAAAAAAAACGTAGTTTGTTTTTGAAAAACTTCGTCCGAAAAAATGCATGAAACGGTAGCTGTCGAAAAATGAAAACCCGCCCATAAAAACTAGAAATTTAAATACATATTTTGGTATCATTTTTTTCAGAAAAGAATGTAGAACATTTATTTAAGTAAAGACGACATTCTACTTTTAAAATGAAAAAGTTTTTTACTTTTAAATGATTTAACTTTGTAAAAATACCAGTTAAAACAGATAATATAGCCGTCTTCACATGAATATAAATTCTCCAACTAATTATTAATAATATGTATGTATTTAAAAAAATTTTTAAATGGTTAATTAGGGAGGTTTTTTTTGTTTTTCAACTGGCGATTTGTAAAATTGCCCCCGTTTTACTAACATCAGTAAGCGCACTCAAAGATATAGGGTAGAGAGCCTATATACTCAGAGAGCGGACATTCGGAAAATACGGAAGAACGGCGGCCATGTTTTTGCCAAACTAGCGTATGACATTCACGAATTCAAGTAAAAGCAATTGAAAGAAAATGAGCACAATAACATTTTAA